AAGTAAACGGGGACCCCAAAATCCTCCTCAAATATAAAGTGGACCCCCAAAATTCACGCCAGTATAAAGGGGGGGCCCAAACACAAATGGGACCCCAAAACCCACCCTGATGCCCCCAGTTTGCACAGTGAGTCCCTCCCCCCCTTACATCCCAAATAACTGCTGACCCCAAAGTCCCCCCAGAGACTCCCAGGTACCCACAGGGACTCCCAGGTTTCCCCCAGAACTGCCCCCTCCCCCAGATACCCCATGGACCCCCCCGAAATTCCGATGGGAGCCCCCCATGCCCCAAAGGCCCCTCGGTGCCTCCGGGGACCTCCTCCATAACCTCACGCCCCCCAAATCCCCCCAGGACCCCCAATTCACCTCCTTACACGCTGAGATCCCCTCCCCCCTTAAAGGGCCCGCGCCCCTCTATTGGGAGGATGCGGGGAAGCCCTTAAAGGGCCCGCGCCCCTCGGTGGCACGTGGAGGGGGGACACGCTCCTGCAAAAGGCTCCGCTGACGTCATGCGGGGGTGGCCCGCCCGTGACGTCACCCGGGGGAACCCGGCTGTCCCCGCACCCCCTAACCCCGCCCCCCAATGTCGTCGTCACTGCGGTGTCACCTCCCCCCTCTATAACGGCTCCCAGGACCACACCGGCCCCATTTGCAACCCGCGACGGAGACATGCGGCCCCACAGAGGTACGCGGGCCCTTTAAGAGAGCGGGGAGTGGGACAGTGGCCCTTTAAGAGAGCTGAGAAGGGGACACTGGCCCTTTAAGAGAGTTGGGAATGGGCGACTGGCTCTTTAAGAGTGGTTTGAGCGGGGTGCTAGCCCTTTAAGAGAGTTGGGAATGGGACAGTGGCCCTTTAAGATACTTGGCAATTAGGTGCTGGCCCTTTAAGAGAGGTGGGAAAGGGACACTGGTCCTTTAAGAGCGATAGAAATGGGGCGCTGGCCCTTTAAGAGGGTTGGGAGTGGGGCTCTGGCCCTTTAAGAGAGGCTTTAAGGAGGGCTCTGTCACTTTAAGGTCCCCCCGCGGGGGTTTCCCCACGTGGATGGGGGGATCGGGGGGGGGGGAATCCCCGCAGGGCATCCCCGTGACGTCACAGCGCGGAGGTGGGGGGTCCCCGTGACATCACTACGGAGGGTTCCCCCACCCACGCGTGTCTCCCCCGCCGCCCGCAGGTGGGCGCGTGCCGCCGCCCCCCCCCCGCACTGTGAAGGAGCTCCTGGAGGGGATGCGGGGCGGGCGGGGGGCGCGAGGGCGGAGCCACGGGGAGAGCGGCGGTGAGTGGGGGTCGACCCTATATACACCCTATAGTCCGTGTCCTATATCCCCTGTAGATCCTATGGCCCCTATAACCCGTGTCCTATATCCCTTATAGACCCTATATCCCCTATAGACCCTATATCCCCTATAGACCCTCTATCTCTTATAGACCCTCTATCTCTTATAGACCCTCTATCCCCTATAGATCCTATATCCCCTATAGACCCTATATCCCCTATAGAGCCTGTAGCCACTATATCTTATAGATCCTATAGCTCATATAGCTCCTATATCCTATATATCCCCTATCCCCTATCCCACCCCCACCCCCCATATCTCAACCCCGTATCCCACATCCCAACCCCGTATCCCCTCTCCCCCCAGGTGCCCCCATCCCATCCCCATCCCCCGCTCTCTCCTGGCCTGGACCCCCCCCGGCCCCCGCTGTGTCCTATGGGGTCCTGGGGGGCACTTATGGGGTCGGACCCCCCCCTATAGGGGGTGCCCAGGTGAGCAAGAACCGGAGGGGGGGAACAGTGGGGCCGGTGGGGCTTGATGGCGGGTAAGGGGGGGACAATTGGGGTTATGGGGTCAGTGGAGCCGGGGGGAGCAATGGGGGATATGGGGTCAAGAATGGGGTTGATGGGGCAGAGTGTGGGGTCAGTAGGTCAGAGTGGGGGGGTGAAAAGGTGGACTGGGGGTCAATGGGGTGG